GTATTTCCTCCTATTATCATGGTAGTTTTTCTGCCTACTTGGGCCATCTTCATTTTCTCCCTAATCATCTGGATTATCTCCGTGGTCTGTTGCACAACCTCGGGTCTGAGTACCGTACTCTCGTCCGACTCATACCAACATAGAGGTGTCCTACACCATCTACCATACAATGCTTCAAAAGGTGCCATTCCAATACTAGAATGATAACTATTGTTGTAAGTAAATTCAATCAACGGTAAATGAGCATCCCAAGCGCCTCACCGCTCGAGTATACAAGCTCTCAACAAATCTTCCAATGACTGAATAGTCCTCTCAGATTGTCCATCTGTCAGTGGGTGATAAGCAGAACTAAATTTCAAACTGGAACCCAAAGCTTCTTGCAAGCTTTTCCAAAATCCAGAAGTAAACCTCAGGTCTCTATCAGATGCAATTCTCGACGGCACTCCGTGTAACTTCACTATCACTCTGATATAAATTTCTGCTAACTTCATCAAAAGAAAACTGATGTTAATCGGTATAAAATGCACCGACTTCTTCAATCTATCCACAATTACCCAAATTGTGTCAAAACTTTTCACCGTATTTGGCAATCCAATCACAAAATCCATTGCAATACTATCCCATTTCCACTCCGGTATTTACATTGGTTGCATCAAACCAGATGGTTTCTGGTGTTCTACCTTGGACTTCTGACAAGTCAAACAAGCATACATAAACTGTGCTATGTCTTTCTTGATACCCGGCCACCAAAATAGTTTCTTCAGGTCTTGATACATTTTCGTAGCTCCTGGATGAATACTCAAGCTACTCTTGTGGCTTTCTTGCAAAATTACCTTTTTCAAATCAGGATTATCGGGAAAACAAATTCTGCCTCTGAACTTCAACACACCGAAATCATCTACTTTAAAGTCTTCTTCCTTATCCCTTCCGCCTATGGTCATCAAGTCTACCAATTTCAGATCCAGTTTCTGACCTTCTCTTATTTCACGAAGGAACTCATTATTCACTTTCAGCATCCCTAACAAAACACTTTCCGAAGTTAACTCACAAACCTTACTCAAGTCTCTAAATTGCACAATCAAATCCCATTCTCTAATCATCAACTTCGACATATGTATTGTCTTCCAACTCAAAGCATTTGCCACGACGTTAGCCTTACCGAGATGGTAACTCAAGTTAATGTCATAGTCTTTCAGAAATTCCAGTCATCTTCGCTGCCTCATATTTAATTCCTTCTGGTCAAAAATATACTTCAAACTCTTATGGTCACTGAACACTTCGAATCTCGACCCGTACAAATAATGCCTCCAAACCTTTAGTATGAAAACCACTGCAGCTAACTCTAGATCATGAGTAGGATAATTCCTTTCATGAATCCTCAATTATCGTGAAGCGTAAGCCACAACCTTGCCATTTTGCATCAAAACACCGCCTAATCCCATCTTAAACGCATCGCAATATACCACAAAAGGATCATTCAGATTCGGTAAGGTTAACATTAGTGCGGTAGTCAACCTTTTCTTCAGTTCTCGGAAACTTTCTTCACACAAAATGTCCCATACAAATGCCTGGCCTTTTCTAGTCAACTGGGTCAATGGAAGAGCCAAATTAGAAAACCCTTCTATGAACTTACAGTAATAGCCTACCAAGCCTAAGAAACTTCTAATCTCTGTCACTGACTTCGGTGCCTCCCACTGAAGCACACACTCACTTTCGATGGATCCACTGCTTTGCCTCCTCCAGAAATAACATGTCCAAGAAAACTTACTTCGCTCAACCAAAACTCACACTTCGAAAGTTTTGCAAACAATTTATTATCCTTCAGCACTTGCAACGCAACCCTCAAATGCTCCACATGATCTACTTCTGACTTAGAGTAAATCAAAATGTCATCAATGAAAACTACTACAAATTGGTCCAAATAAGCATGGAAGATACGATTCATGTACTCCATGAACACACCCGGTGCATTGGACATACTAAACGACATCACTGCATATTCATAATGTCCATACCGAGTTCTGAAAGCTGTTTTCTGGATATCATCTTCTTTCACGCGGATCTGATGGTAGCCTGACCTCAAATCAATTTTACTGAACACACGAGCTCCCACGAGTTGATCCATCAGATCGTCGATTCTTGAAAGTGGATACTTATTATTGGTGGTTACTTTATTCAATTGGCGATAATCGATGCACAAGCAAATACTGCCATCTTTCTTCTTTACTAACAAAACTAGCGCTCCCCACGGCGACACACTGGGTCTGATAAACTTTTTGTCCAATAATTCTCCCAACTGAGATTTCAGCTCTGCCAACTCTGATGCTGAAATTCTGTATGGTGCCATAGATATAGGTCTGGTACCAGGCACAAGATCAATCGTAAACTCTACTTCCCTCTCTAGAGGTAACTCTGCAACATCCTTTGGGAACACTTCAGGAAATTCCCTCACCACATGTAATTCATCAATCGACGACTTGCCTTCTACAGATAACGAAGCGAACACTGCAAATACTTTAGCTTCGTCTTCCAACAAGATTCTCAACTCCTTGGGAGACATAAGACTAGTTGTTTCTTCTTCCTCATAAGTCAGGAATAACAACCTCTTCCTATAACAATCAATATAAACATAGTTGATCTCGAGCCAATTCATCCCTAAAATAACATTCAGCTCGCTGAGTGGTAGACATATTAGGCCCACTCCAAAATCTTTACCAAAGATCGACATAGGATAATTCAAACACACTAAAGAAGTAGTGATTGATCCAATAAATGGTGTATAAATCACCATCCCCCTACTCAAAGTACACGACACAAGCCCTAGTCTCTTCACACAATCCACAGAAATAAATGAGTGAGTTGCACCTGTATCAACAATAGCAATCAAAGGAGTGTTATAAATGTAACACGCACCTCTGACCAAATGATCCTCACTGGTAGGATGAGCTCCCACCAATGCAAACACCTTTTCACTTGTCTGAGACTTCTTCGATTTCTGACAGTGGGTGCTGATATGACTCTGCTCACCGCAGTTATAATAGGTTGGTATGTTGGATCTACAATTCGCGACTACATGACCTGGTTTTCCACACTTAAAACACTTTTTCACCTCATTCTGACATTCATTCGCACGGTGACCTGTGCTACCACATCTAAAACACTTGAGAGCATGGGAAGGATTTCCTCCCCCACTTAGTTTCTTCCCAACAACATCTTTCCGCTTTCCTTTATCAGACGGAGCACGGTAAGGTGTATTTTCATGGCTTTGTTTGCCTCTTCTGTCACTTAATAGAATGGTAGTAATTAACCATTTAATAACAATAATAAAAATATTATAGTTATGGATATTATTATTTAATCATTATTGATAATAATATTAATAGAATGGTAGTAAAGATGTTGAAAATTGAAATAGTAAAAAAATGTTATATTAGTTTTTTCTATAATGTCATACCTTTATCTTTTCACTAAAAGATGTTGAAAATTGAAATAGTAAAAAAAGGTGTGCAAGTGTGTCTAGTGATTATGTAGAAAAATAAGTTTTAAGTGGAAACAAATCTAAAATAGATGCTAATAATATCACATTTTTATGCAATATCTTGATTTGTTTTTAGAATATGATTTTCTCTTTACAACAATATTAATATTTCTCTTTGACAAAATCAATTGTATTAAAAATAAATAAAAAATGTAATTTTCTAAATCAACATAACACTAAATAATAAAATAAAAATTTAAAATAAATAGAATTTTTGAAACAAAATAAAGCCAATATACTTTCGTGCACAATGGTGGCTACCGAAAAGTGTGGTCGAATCCTTACCTTTTTTTTTATTTCTTTTTATTTTATATTTGTGGGAATATGGAAGAGAATCTTTCTGTACTTTTTTTCTAATGATAAATAGGATTCATAAATCAAGTTAAGAAGATGGAGAGTTTGTGACAAAAAAAATGGCGATTGGTTAATCTATTTGATTATTGACAAGTTTGAGAGGAAGACAATTGTGAATAGATTAAATAATTTTTCAAATTTTAAAAATGCACAAAGGAGAAATAAATATATCTTAGTTGTGATAAATATGAATGTTGAATACGAATATGTTGAAGAAATACATAAAAATGAGCGGGAGAAAAAAATTTATAATAAAAAAAAAAGACGTTGGCGTGAAAAATAGGATGTGACCTATTCATTGAGAGACACTTCTTCCGTTTTTTATTATAAATTGTTTTTTATTTTTTATATATATTAAAAAAATATAATAATTGTGGTATGAAAAAGAGAAATTATAAAAAGTTTTATAAAATTGTCCATCATTAATATTGTATTGAAAAGACAAATTTACATAATTGAAAAGAGAGATAATAATAAATATTTAAGGGTATAATAAAAAAAGTAACATTAATGATTCATTGTATTATAAAACGATTTATATTGTAGTACAAAATATTTTTCCAAGACGTGTTATAATAAAAAAACGGAAGTAATACAAAACAAAGATAAAGTTGAAAACATAATAATTAAGTTTTTAAGGAAATAAAAAAAAATTGTTAGAATTTTAATGAGATGAAATTATCATTAATGCATAGAGTAATTACTAGCATTTGACAACTAACTAACTAACTCAACAGAATCCAAACACACTTTCTAACTAACTAACTTTTTGCTTCCTTTTCATTAACTAGCTTGCTTATATATACAGTCTCAGCATTCATATTCATTCCACACACAGTTACTTTCTTTCTTCATCATCTCCAACTCTTCTAATTACATGAAAAACTCACTTTCTTTTTTTTCTTTACACAGCCATCCATTCTTCCCTCTTTTAGTCTGAGAATTGTCAGGAAGAAGAAAGAAACCAACTTCTCAGTCTCACATTGAGCAAGGTTAGTGCTATTTCAAATTATATATCTTTCTTGTATAGAAAAGGAAATAGTGATTTTCTTCTTATATATGTAACAGATCGAATTGGTAGTTAATATATCATCAATTGTGGAGTAAGATGGTCTTAATAAGTGAAGACAAAGGTAAACAAATAATGTTGCCTGATGGTGAAGATACTGAAGATGATGATCTTCCACCAACCTTCCCTCGAAGAATAATAAGAGCACTTGTTGTGCACAATGATGATCGCATTCGAAAGATTTATGAAATTATGTTGGAAAGACTTGGTGTGGAAACTGGTGTAGTGAAAACTAGTCAAGAAGCTATAAAAACAATTTGTGTTGAGGAAGTCTATGACTTAATTCTCCTTGATAGGCATTTTCCTGTCATTGATGGGGTTCAGGTAGCTACATTTTTCTGTATATATTAATTTCATGTTGCATATGCATAATATATACTGAGATTCCTTCATTTGTTTTATGCAGATGACGAAGATGCTGCGAGACTTGGAGTACCCTACAACGATTTTTGGTGTGGCGCATCCCCTTACAGAATTACAACGGGAAGAATTTTTTAGAGCAGGGCTAGATGGTTGCGTTGATAACGAAACACCCTTGTCCGATGAATCGCTTGCATCCATTGTTGAAAGTATTCCCCTTTGCCAAACTTGGAAGAAAAGAAATCTTTATAGTACAATTTACAAATCTTTTCACCATCCTAGTGCTTCTTTTAGTCCTGGTTCAAGTTGTACTTCTAGAGACTTTTCTAAAAAAGATTAAGTAGCATGCATGGCATCGCCTTTTCAGGATGTACAAACTATTTATATTGGGGTCCTTTTATCTTTACAGTATAGTATATTCGCATATAACTATATGTTCTTGTTAACAGTTTACTGGAAAAGTGAGTTATAATGGGTCATAAGATGAATGAATTTGTCAGTCAAAATGATCTTCATCTTGGATAACAAACACTCTTTCTTCCCTCTCTCCTATGTATATGATCCATGTTAAATTATACTTCTTTATGTCAAAGCAATGTTTGACAGGAGCAAAGAAGTTGTCGAATAATCTAGTTTGTCGTAATCTTAATTCTCACATGTAATACATTACATCACAATTCAATCTTTATACATAAGATGGAACAATTCTCTTATTATATAATTTGGTGAGCCTAATAAAACTTCCCTATATAATCTTAAGATTTTTTTCAACATGGGCAGACAAACCATTATTTTTAGGGAATTATTTTTTAAGTAATGTTGAAGCATTTGACTTTTTTAATCCGAAATTTTTGAACAATTATCAAATATACAGATCAAATATTAAATATATGATTTTGACATCATCGTTTGAGTCGCACAATACTAAATGATTCTGACTTATCGTAAAAAAAAAAAGCTTCAAGAGAGTTATAATTGAACTGAATTAAATCAAAATCATAGTATACTGTAATATGTGTAATTGAATATATGATTCTGTTATACACATCATACAACAAAATCTATATGATAATATTATACACAATACCAGCGCTCTGATAGGAATATTATTAATGGTTAGGTTATTATTAATTGTTATTTGTTATTTGGCTTAGTTTGCACTGATGGAGAGAATCGTGCTTGCAGTTTGTTACCTTTGATTATGCCTAAATTGTAGGGAGTCTAGTATTGCTTAGTAGCTCTATTTCCTAGCCACTACTTAGGACGTATTCAGTTTCTTTTGTAAGCTATTTATATAGCAGTATTACTTTCTAATAAATTACTCAGTTATTTGATTTGTTAACATCTGGTATCAGAGCGAGAGAAAAGAACTCACGAGAGTGCAACAAAAGAGTGTCTGGGATATGGAATCCGAAGAGAAGAATGGTGGATTTTCTGCACCCTCCATTCCCAAATTCGATGGAGATTACGATCATTGGAAGATGGTCATGGAAAATCTCTTGAGATCCTGAGAATATTGGCCCGTGGTGGAGAACGGTTACACGCTACCTAGAGAATGAGAAGTGCAGACAGATGCATAGAAGAAGATCCTGGATGATTTGAAGCTTAAGGATTTGAAGGCGAAGAATTATTTGTTCCAATCCTTGGACAAATCAATTCTACGAACCATCACCAAGAAGGACAACTCTAAGCAGTTGCGGGACTCCATGAAGATGAAGTACCAAGGGAACGATCGGGTCCGGCGTGCTCAGCTCAATCGACTCCGACGAGAATTCGAAGTGTTGGTTATGAAACAGGGGGAGTCAGTTAATGACTACTTCGGAAGGGTGATGACCATAGCCAATGACATGCGAAATTGTGGTGAAGACATGACAAATGTAAAAATCGTAGAGAAAATTCTGCGAACACTGACAGAGAAATGGAATTACATTGTGTGTTCCATTGAGGAAGCTAACGATGTTGATACGCTCACAGTTGATGCCTTGCAAAGTTCCCTCTTGGTCCATGAACAGAAGTTCAAGAGGGAACCAGATGAAGAACAAGCGTTGGCGGTTTCTTATGGTGACACCGGTGGTCGAGGTCGAGGGAGAAACACCTTCAGATGAGGAAGAGGTCGTGGACGAGGTCGTCAGAGCTATAACAAAGCAATAGTTGAATGTTACAAATGCCATCAATTAGGGCATTTTCAATATGAATGCCCTAATCTCGAGAAAACGGTTAACTATGCCGAGATGAGCAAGGATGAAGAAATGCTTCTTATGGCTTATATTGAAGCATCAGGGGAAAAGGGACATATTGTATGGTTCTTAGACAGTGGGTGCAGCAACCACATGAGCGGAGACATCTCTCTTTTTTGTACCATGGAGGAAGAGTTCAAAAGAGAAGTCAGTCTAGGGAATCATATGAAGATGAAGGTTGTCGGCAAAGGAAGTGTTAGGTTAAATCTTGCCGGTGTCGGTCATGTTGTTCAAGAAGTGTTCTATATTCCAGATTTGAAGAAAAATCTACTAAGTATTGGACAGCTGCAGGAGAAACGCTTGGCTTTTCTATTCAAGAACAATGAGTGCAAAATCTATCACCCATCGAAGGGCCTTATCCTTGAAAGCAGAATGACACTCAACAGAATGTTCGTATTGCTCTCGAAGACCTCCTCAGTCACCAATGTGTCAAGTGAATGTTGTTTCCAAACTGACATCCAAGAAATTTCTCATCTATGGCACTGCAGGTATGACCACCTTAGCTATACTGGACTCCAAACTTTGGCTAGCAAGAACATGGTTAAAGGCCTGCCAAATCTTGGAGAAATCACTGCTGCTAGAAAAACAACTACTGTATGCATTGGGTGTCTGAAAGGAAAACAACACAGGGAGATCATGCCAAGAAAAGCCATGTGGAAAGCTGAAGCCCGATTGGAGCTTATACATGCCGACATATGTGGTCCCATCTCGCCAATGTCACATGGTCAAAAGAGGTATCTCATTTGTTTCATTGACGACTTCAGTAGGAAAGCTTGGGTGTATTTTATTGCTTATAAGAGTGATGCATTTTCTACTTTCAAGCAATTTAAAAGTTGGGTAGAAAGGGAGTCCGGTTTATTTGTGAAATGCTTGAGAATTGATCGTGGAGGTGAGTTTACCTCACATGAGTTTACTAATTATTGTAGACAAGAAGGGATAAAAAGACAGCTCACCACAGCCTACACGCCACAGCAAAATGGAGTTGCCGAAAGGAAAAACCGGTCTGTCATGAACATGGCCAGAAGTTTGCTTGTCGAAAAAGAAGTACCTAAGGTTTTCTAGCCTGAAGCTGTTAATTGGGCGTTCCATGTGCTTAATAGAAGCCCCACCTCTGCTGTGAAAGAAATGACTCCCGAAGAGGCTTGGTCTGGAGTGAAGCCCACAGTCGAGCACTTTAGAGTTCTTGGCTGCATTGCTCATGTCCACATTCCAGATGCTCGAAGAATCAAGCTTGATGACAAGAGCACTAAGTGTGTTTTATTTGGAGTAAGTGTCGATTCGAAGGGATATAGGTTATACAATCCCATTAAAGGAAATATCATTGTTAGCAGGGATATCGTGTTCGAAGAAAATAAGAAATGGGATTGGAACACAAGTCACTCAGAATTCCGCAATGATCAGCTTGATTGGGGAGATATGGATATTACTATTGCTGACCAAGAGAGTGATACAGTGACACCACAAGATCAGTCAAAGCATGAAGAATCCATTGCGTACAGTGGAGATATAAGTCACTCAACAAATGAGAATGAGGAGGTTGAGAATGCAGTTGGGATTGAGATTGCTACTGAGGATGAAAATGTAGTAGCTACAACTGAAAATACTGAAAATTCTGCAGCAGAAGGCACGCGTATTAGAAGAACTCCAAGGTGGATGGATGATTATGTGGTGAACTATGTTGTCGCAAACTCTGACGTAGCAGCAAGTTTTGACCCCCAATCCTTTGATGAAGCTGTGCTAAATACCAATTGGAAGAAAGCCATGGATGCTGAAATTCAGTCCATCGAAAAGAATGGAACCTGGACTCTAGTCGAATTACCAAAGGGAGCGGTAAGCATATGGGTCAAATGGGTGTATAAAACAAAATTGAATCAACATGGTGAGATTGACAAGTATAAGGCTCGATTAGTAGCGAAGGTATATGCGCAACAACATGGAATTGATTATGAAGAAGTATATGCGCCAGTGGCAAGGCTAGACACCGTGCGTATGATCTTGGCCCTTTCTGCACAAAGAAGTTGGGTTGTGTATCAGCTGGACGTGAAGTCCGCATTCTTACAAGGTGAACTTACAGAGGAAGTGTACGTTGATCAGCCAAAAGGCTATGAAGTACAGCATGAGAAGACTAAGGTATACAAGCTACAAAAAGCTTTGTACGACCTTAAACAAGCACCGAGGGCTTGGTTTAGCAGGATTGAAGCACACTTCAGAAATATGGGTTTTGATAAAGAAGCAAGCGAACAAACCTTGTTCACCAAAATCAATCAACAAGGGAAGCATTTGATCGTTAGCCTATATGTTGATGATTTGATTTATACTGGAAACGATGAAGCCATGTTGAAAGAATTCAAGCAATCAATGATGGATGAATTTGAAATGTCTGATCTAGGAAGAATGCACTACTTCCTTGGCTTAGAGGTTAAGCAGCTCAACAATGGAATCTTCATCTCTCAAAAGAGATATGCCGAAGAGATCTTGAAGAAGTTTAGGATGGAGGAAAGCAACTTGGTCCTAAATCCTACTGTTCCTGGAGTTAATATTGATAAAGATGATACAGGTGTGACGGTAAACAACTCCATGTTCAAACAACTTGTTGGTAGCTTGATATACTTGACAACTACCAGGCCGGATCTGATGTATGCAGTTTGTGTAGTCAGTAGATATATGGCCAAACCAACTAATATGCACCTTATGGCATCAAAGAGAATACTGCGGTATGTGAACGGAACTGCGTGTTTTGGGATTTTCTATCAAAGATCAGGCAATCAGGAGCTTGTGGGATACACAGACAGCGACTATACCGGTTGTATCGATGATAGGAAAAGTACCTCAGGCTATGCCTTCATACTTAGCAATGTAGCTATGGCATGGTCATCAAGGAAGAAACCTATAGTCACACTCAGCACCACAGAAGCGGAATTTGTAGCTGCGTCAGCCAGTGCCTGCCAACTGATTTGGATGAAGAGGGTTCTGTCCAAGTTAGAGTACAACGGAAACAAAAGTCCGGTGATTTTTTGTGACAACAGTTCTACCATCAAACTCTCAAAGAACCCAGTTATGCATGGCAAGAGCAAACATATCAATGTGCGCTTTCACTTCCTCC